GCTGTGGCCAGGGGAGTGCAGGGGGAGGGAGGGCCCAAGTCCTTGGGCCCCTGCCCCTGCCATGGGGAGGCCCAGGAGGGAAGCCCCCTGGCTCCTGGCTTCCGATTGCTGCAGGTGCGCCCAGGCCGTCGCGGCCCATTTGGGGGAGTGAACCAACAGAAAGGAAGGCCTTTTCTCTCCTGTCTCTCTGTCTTCACTGTCTAACTCTGCCTGTGAAAAAAAAAAATTCTCTTTTTAAAAATAATTAATAATTGAATATTTAAGAGGGCTTCTCTTTTTTTTTGGGGGGGGGGGGGTTTGTAAAACGCGGGCCAGTATGTATATACACCCTTATATGTATGGTAGTTAATAAAAATATCATTTGATGATTTCTTTCAAGAAAAATCAAAGTTGAATTAAGGTCAATTTTTTCTTTTCTTTCTTTTTTTTTGGGGGACTGTTTGGGAAAAAGTTTTCCTTTTTTCTCTCTTAATTCAACTCATTGAAAACAGAGGTCCTGCATGGGAAAAAAAAAACAGTGACTCCTGTTGTTAATTTTTTTTTTTTTTTCCGACAGGCAGAGTGGACAGTGAGAGAGAGAGACAGAGAGAAAGGTCTTCCTTTGCCGTTGGATCACCCTCCAATGGCCGTCGCGGCTGGCGCGCTGCGGCCGGCGCACCCCGCCTATCCGAAGGCAGGAGCCAGGTGCTTTTCCTGGTCTCCCATGGGGTGCAGGGCCCAAGCACTTGGGTCATCCTCCACTGCACTCCCTGGCCACAGCAGAGAGCTGGTCTGGAAGAGGGGCAACCGGGACTAGAACCCAGGGTGCCGGTGCCCCAAGGCGGAGGATTAGCCTACTGAGCCGCGGCGCCGGCCATGTATAATGTACTTTTTTTTTTTTTTTGACAGGCAGAGTGGACAGTGAGAGAGAGAGACAGAGAGAAAGGTCTTCCTTTGCCGTTGGTTCACCCTCCAATGGCCGCCGCGGCCGGCGCGCTGCGGCCGGCCCACCGCGCTGATCCGATGGCAGGAGCCAGGAGCCAGGTGCCTTTCCTGGTCTCCCATGGGGTGCAGGGCCCAAGCACCTGGGCCATCCTCCACTACCCTCCCTGGCCACAGCAGAGGGCTGGCCTGGAAGAGGGGCAACCGGGACAGAATCCGGCGCCCCGACCGGGACTAGAACCCGGTGTGCCGGTGCCGCTAGGCGGAGGATTAGCCTAGTGAGCCGCGGCACCGGCCCCATGTATAATGTACTTTAAAAAATTATTTTCTTGGCCGGCGCCATCGCTCACTAGGCTAATCCTCCACCTACGGCACTGGCACCCCGGGTTCTAGTCCCGGTCGGGGCACCGGATTCTGTCCCAGTTGCCTCTCTTCCAGGCCAGCTCTCTGCTGTGGCCCGGGAGTGCAGTGGAGGATGGCCCAAGTGCTTGGGCCCTGCACCCCATGGGAGACCAGGAGAGGCACCTGGCTTCCGATCAGCATGGTGCGCCGGCCGCGGCGGCCATTGGAGGGTGAACCAACGGTAAAGGAAGACCTTTCTCTCTGTCTCTCTCTCCACTCTGCCTGTCAAAAAAAAAAAAAAAAAAATTATTTTCTTGGGTCCGGTGCTGTGGCACATCAGGTTATAGCCCTGGCCTACAACACCAGCATCCTATACGGGTGCCGGTTCAAGTCCTGGCTGCTCCACTTCCAATGTAGGTCCCTGTTAATGTGCCTGGGAAAGCAGCAGAGGCTGCACCCACATGGGAGACCCAGACCCAGACCAAGCTCTTGGCTCCTGGCTTCAGCTCAGCTTAGCTCTGACCATTGCGGCCATTTGGGGAGTAAGTCAGCAGATGGAAGACCTCTCTCTCTCTCTCTAGCTCTACCTCTTTCTGTAACTCTGTCTTTCAAATAAATAAAATAAATCTTTTAAAAATTAATTTCTTTTTATTTATTTGGAAGCAGAGAGACAGAGACAGACAGATTTCCCATCCAGTTTCAATTCCCAAATGCCAACAACAGTTGGGGCTGGGCCAGACCAAAGCCAGGAGTCGGAAACCCACTCCAGGTCCCCCACAGGGGTGGAAGTACATCACCTGCTGTCCCCCTGGGGTGCACACACCAGAAAGCTGGAACAGAAGCAGAGCCAGGACTGAAACCCCAGGACTCTGACATGGGACACAGGCAACCCAAGAGGCATCGTAACTGCGGGGCCAAACTCCTGCCTCCTGAAAGGTACTCTGAGACGTTCACCACCATCAGTGTAGGCACCGAGGGCTGGGCGCCCACACAGCTATGGACACTCACACCCAAGAAGGAGAATCGGAGAAGGTTCTGTCCCGTGCACGACAAGAGGGAATTAACAGAAAGTCTAGAAAGGCAAAGGGAGCGCCTGCTGAGACGAGGCCCTGGGCAGGGACGGACAGCAGGTCTGCCTCGCTCCTGCCCCGCGGTCTCTCCAGGGACCAGAGCGGAGGGCCCCAGGCTGTCCATCACCAACAGGCTGGGGCTGCAAGCATCAGCTCCGTCCAAATGAGACGCTAGCTGTCGCATTTAAGCTGTGAAAAAAACCACCGAACACATGAAAAAAGTATTTTTACATTTGGTTGTATTTACTTGAGGAAATTTTAAAGTGTTTCATTCGCTCTGCTTCAAATGGCATCAAATTTACATTTTAAAAAAATTTGTTTAAAGAAATACACATGCAAAACAGAGCATTTCCAACTTTTAATTGAGGCCCAGGATTTCAGAGGAAGCCAATCAAATTATAAACATAATCAAAGGAAAATTAAACAAAAGTCCAGAGAGCTGAGCTGACTTTTGTCCGGCACGCGGGTGCAGCGGGAAGTCACGCTGTGCACGTGCATCAACGCCACACCGCAAGTGTGTGCAGGACTCTGATGTCAGTTAGAAATTTAAGGGCCAGAAACAAACTCCCTTTGAAACTTCAGAACATGATAACCTACACTTTCCAAATTCCCTCGAAGCCTTCCCAGGAAGTCTCAAAATCTAAATGGAGTCAACTGCTTTCCCTTCTTACATGTCAAGAATCCTATGTAACTGTCCCTGGCTACCTGGCACAGACGTGGGAGGTGGAGAGAGGCCGGCCGGCTCCCCACTCCCCAGGGCGGCCAGTCCCTCGCTCCCCTGCACACAGACCCGGTGCCCTGCGAGCACCCGTGACCCCCACCCCGGAAGCTGGGTGCCTGATCACGCCCCACAGTCGGGTCTGAAGAACAGCCCTCATCCTCCAGCGGAAGTCACCAGGCCGTGCTACTGCACACGGCCAGCGAAGGCCCTGGCTCGAATCACGCCGTGAGTCACGGCGGCGGCATGCACTGCCTCGAGATTTTCATGCTGCTACAATATTTTTTTCTAAGATTTTATTTATTCATCTGAGAGGTAGAGTTACAGACAGTGAGAGGTAGAAACAGAGAGAAAGTGCTTCCTTCCATCGAGCCAGGAGCGTCCTTCTGGTCTCCCACGCGGGTGCCGGCGCCCAGCCGCTGCGATGTATTAACGGCAGCCAAGCACCACCTGGAGAGTCCCTGCAGTCATGCAAGTCACTCGTAACCGGGATCTCCAGAGAGCCAGACCCTCAGCACACAGCTCTGCCTCTGCGCAGCCTCGCACAGGGACTGCCGGCACACGCCTGGACGCCCTGCCCCGGCGTCCCGCACACCGCACCAGCTAGCCCAGCCCTTCCTCTGCACCAGCCCAACCGCTGAGAGGCCCGGCCGTCCGCGTCCCAGAGGCCCCACCCGCAAAGCAACCAGAGCCGTCCACTGTTCGGCTGGACATCAGGGCGTGGATAAGGAACCCCGGAACCTGGATCGGTGGCCCTGAAACAGCAGGGCTGCTCCACCACATCCATCCCACACCGAAGCGCCCACAGCAACTCCAGCTCGAGCACCGCGGGGCAGAGGGGCCGCAGTGCGGACCCCACTCACTGTCTCTTCGCAGAAATATCAGCTGCGTGGGCCCAGAGACGAGAACTCGCGGTGCTGGCTGCATGGTCGGCACCCAGCACCAAACGTGGCCCAGGGAGACGCCTTCCCGAGGTTCGGCCGGAACGGAGGCACTGCTTCCTCCTCCTCCGTCCTGGGTCTCTCCGGTCTCACCTTACACTCCCACCAGCCTTCGGGATTCTAACTACCCCGTAAAGCCCTAACCAACCTGCCCACCAGCATCCCGGGTGAGCCTGGCGCCGACCGCGGCCGTACAGGTGCCTCCGCGTGCGAGGAGCAGAAGCCACACTTCCGGCTACCGCCAGGGCACAGGGGTCTGGCACAAGTACAATAGGGGGAAACCAACCGGCTCGAGCATGGCGCAGCCGAAATAAAGCCTTCAGCCTTGACACGCTCTCAGAAGGGCTACGGCAGAGCGGGCGTCCAGGGCCCTGGACAGCAAGGGGACGCAGCCAGGACGTCACCTGCAAGGGGCGGTCGAGCCGGACCCCCGCCCAGGAGATAGCTCCGCGCCGCCCGCGGACCCCAGAGGCGAGTGCGGGGCGAGGATGCGGGCGGATGTCCCAGGGAGCTGCAGGAAACGATATCCGGACCCGGAGGGTGGGTCTCGGAAGCCGCCAGGCGACGGCCGGGCGGGGGAGGGGATGGGAGCCGGGATGCGGCGCGCGGGGACAGGATGCGGGGGCGCGCGCGGGCGCGGCACTTACCCCACTCGAGGAACTCGGCCACGTACTTGTCGCGCCGCAGGGCCGAGTGGCTGCACTCGGTGTACAGGCACACGAGCACGTCGAGCAGCGTCTCCACGCTCAGGGCGCTCTCGTTGCGCCACGGCCCGTCCAGGAGCAGCTGCTCCAGCTTCTTCAGCCGCACCTTGGCCGACATGGTGCCGCGCCGCCCGCTCTCCCCGCACCGGCCACGCGCCGCCCGCTCGGCCAGCCCGTCAGCGCGAGCCCCGGGGGGCCCGGCGGCCGCGAGTCCCCTCAGCGCCCGGCCGCCGCCCCGTCCGCGTCGCCGCGCCCCGGCCTAGGCCGACATCTTGGGCTCCGTCCCCGCGGCGCAGAGTCTGAGGCGCCGGGCCCCGCGGGTCCATGGGCCGGCCTCCGCCCCTCGGCCACCGCCTCCCGCCCGCCCGGGCCTCAGCCCCGCCGGCGGCCGCGCCCTCACACGGCCGACGCCGGGCGACGCGGAGCCGAGCGCTGCGCAAGCCCGGCCGGCGCCCGAGCCCGACCCCAGCCCCGACCCGGCGGCCCAGCCCCGCGGCCCGCAGCCAACCAGGGCGCGGCCAGCGCGGCGCAGCCAACCGCGGCGGGGCCGGCCCTCGCCGCGCTGACCTCAGCGCGCCGCCCCGCCCCGCCCCGCGCTCGCGGCTGGCTGCTGCGGGCTCGGGCCTCGCCGCTCGCCGTAGCCAGACCGGACGCCGGCGGGGCGGGTGGGCCGCCGAGATTGCGGCCGGCGCGTGCGCAGAGCGGCCGGCCTGCGGGGCGGCGGCGCTGGGCGAGGCGGGGTCGAGGGCGCGGCGGGCACGAGGGCTGCCCGCGCGCGCTGCCCGGGAGAGCGGCCTCGGGAGGCTCCGGCCCGGCCGGGGCGTGCCGCCCGCGCGTCGGGAGCGCGGGATGCCCCTGCCCACCGCGCAGCCTGCCCTGCCCGCAGAGCTGGCGGGAGGCGGGCCGAGGCCCCGCGCTCGCTGAGGTTGCGGGTGTGTCCGGGTGGCCGGGGAAGGCGGCTGGCGGAGACCCCAGCCGCACCGCCGCAGACCTTTGGCGTCGGGAGACTAGGGCTCCGGGCGTTTTGGGAGTGGGAGGTCGCGGCGGGGGGCGGGCGGCCGGGGGCAGAGCCGGCCCTGGAGATGGGAGTCGGAGGACGGCCGCCTCCGGAGGGGGTCCCAGGGCAGTGCGGGCTGCAGGCCAGGTCCTGGAGCTCGGTCTGGGTGCGGGGTACCCAGGGGCGTAAGTGCACCGCTCTCAAGCCGTACGCTGCCGGCAGTGCGAGTCCCCGGCATCTGAAACGTTCGGGCTCGGCCACCTTTGGGGGCGCGAGGCTGGAGGGGCTCGCAGCGTGCCCCGGCTAGGTCTGGCCCGTCCAGTTAGGTGGAGCTGTTCGTACACAGGTCACGCACTGTACCCTAAATATTTGTTCGCTGTACCGTGTGTGTATCAAGTCTCAATTAAAATAATAATCCCTAGTCGAAACTCGCGCTTTAGGATAGAGCCCAGACTCTGCCGTGGCCCCTGGGGAGGGTGAGCAGACTCGGAGTCTGGCCAGGCCCCCAACCCCCCGGTTTTCACCTTTGTCCCCGGGTAGTGACCTCTGCTCCCACGAGTGTCCCTGTGGACAGCGTGTTCTGCCGCCTGCCCAGCCACACCCCCTTTTCAGTCTCACTGTCCTCTCGCTGGACCTTCGATCCGCCGGCCCTGCCGCTGCTGGCCGTGCTGCTCCTGCAGCGCAGCCTTGGCCGGCGTCCTGGGCAAGACCAGGCCCCCCTGTCCCGCCCAGCACCTGGCACCGTGGGTGCCTGTGAGACCTGCCCGTAGTCTGGAACCACACATCTTCCTGTCCCTCAACGAGTGCGGGCGTAGTAAAGAGAATAACTGGACCTACCTCTGCATTCCACTGAGTTTGAGACAACTGAGTGGGTTAACACCCTTGGATCAGTCCATACTGGGCCTGAGTGCCCGCACGCCAGTGGCGTTTTTTAAGACATTTATCTGAAAGGCTGAGTGACAGGGAGAGGAGGAGAAACAGAGAGAGAGAGAGATCTTCCATCTGCTGGTTCACTGCGATGGCCAGGGCTGGGCCAGGTTGAACCCATGGGAGCCTGGTCTCCATCAGGGTCTCCCACATGGGTGGCAGAGGCCCAAGTACCAGACCCGTCATCTGCTGCCTCCCGGGCGCATTGGCAGGGAGCTGGATCAGAAGCCAAGCAACCAGGACTTGAACTGGCGCTCTGATAGGGGATGCCACAACACTGGTCCTGTGCTCTAGGCACTGTTTCAGAACCCAAGGACTGTGTGACCGGCTGGCTCTTAGCCCCCAGGCCAGAGAGACCCAGTGCACCCGAGAGGTTCCACTGTATCCTGACCCTAAACTCCTCACTTGGGCTGACTCGGTGGATGTCTGATCAGCCCACAGTGGACACAACATCTGGCTGTTACACCTCTGAAGTTTGGCTCTGTCTCCTTGCACCCAGATTGGCCCTTTAGGGCCTGAATTGACAGAACATTGCAAGTGTCCCCTTCTGCCCCTCTGGGGCTGTGCCCAGGGAGGAAGGAAGGGAGAGGGGCTGCAAGGGCGGGGTACCGTCTCTGTGCTGGCAGGAAGTGAAGCTGGCCCAGTGGGGACAGCCACGTACCCCATGCTGGGTCCCTGCTGCTCACTCCTCTGCCCCCTTAACCCAAGCAGATATCATCTGTCTGGGTGGGGCCCTCCGTCCTCCCAGGGGGACTGCCAGGCCTGTTAGCCCCTTGCTTGTTCACATGTGTCCACAGGACGCTTCATGCACCCCTTGCCCCCAGCAAATGGTAGGGAGCAGGCAGCTCCCAACCCGACGTGTTCCTGGCTCTGCTTCCAAAGCAGCACGTGCGCAGGTCCTGTTTGGGAGTCAGCGCCGCAGCCACGGTGCCCCCCAAGTGGAGGGCCACAGCTTGGGCTCTAGAGGAATGTCCTGGAACCCCTCTCACCAGGCTGAAGGCAAAGGAAGGAGCGCCCCATCCTCTCGCCCTCGCAGGTGCAGGTCAGGTTCCCAAGCGCTTGCCTTGACAAGCTACATGGCATGCGAAGTGGGAGGGGCGGCACAGCTGCTCCGTGCAGTGCCAGGGCTTTGGAGCTGGCCGTGCCACCCTCTGCCTGCAACGCCCCCTGCTTCCGAGGCGGCTACTAGGTCCTAGGCTGAACGCCAGGGAACTACAGGGAGGTCCTTTGGCCTAGTGTCAAGACACCTGCATTTTATATGGGAGTGCCTGGGTTCAAAAGGGAGTTACAGAAAGGCAGAGAGAGAAAGACGGGCATCTTCTGTCTGCTGGTTCACTTCTCAAATGGCCACAACAGCCAGGTCAAAGGCAGAAGGCTGGACCTCTATCCAGGCCTCTTCCAGAGAGCTGGACAGGAAGTGGAGCAGCTGGGACCTGAACACCTGCTCCTATGGGATGCCAGCATCGCACAGCACCAGGCTCCTACTATGCTTCTGATCCAGCTTCCTACTAATGCATCCTGGGGGGTGCCAGGTGACGGCTCAAGTATCTGGGCCCCTGCCACTCATGCGGGAGACCCAGATTGAGTTCCAGGCTCCTGGCTTCAACCTGGCCCAGTCCAGGCTTTTGTGGGCATTTGGGAAATTAACCAGTGGGTGGGAGTTTCTCCCCCCCACCATAGAATAAGTTTTAAGAAATAGGTGTTGGGGTTCTAGTCCCAGTCGGGGCGCTGGATTCTGTCCTGGTTGCCCCTCTTCCAGTCCAGCTCTCTGCTGTGGCCCGGGAGGGCAGTGGAGGATGGCCCAAGTGCTTGGGTCCTGCACCCGCATGGGAGACCAGGAGGAAGCTCCTGGCTCTTGGCTTCGGATCAGCGCGGCAGGCCGGCCGCGGCAGCCATTGGAGGGTGAACCAACGGCAAAAGAAGACCTTTCTCTCTGTCTCTCTCTCACTGTCCACTCTGCCTGTCAAAAAAAAAAAAAAAAATAGGTGTTGTCCCCACTAAGCTGTAAAACCAGATATGTAAAACGAGACCAGGTGCACATACACACACGTACTGGACGGGGTGAGTGTCAGCGTGAGAGGGGGTGTAGCCTCCACCACACTCTTTGCTCCAGCTGCCTTGCTTACTTCTCCACCTGCAGCTGTGCCCTCGCAGGAGGGTCTCTGTGAACCACCAACAGAGGGTGAAAAAGCATACACTTGCTATAGAGGGGTCTGCATTGGGTCGGCGCTATGGCGTAGCAGGCTGCCACCTGTGGCTCTGGCAACCTATATGGGCATCAGTTCAAGTCGCAGCTGCTCCACTTCTGATCCAGCTCCTTGCTAATGCTCATGAGAAAGCAGCGGAAGATGGCCCAAGTCCTTGGGCCCCTGCACCCACATGGGAGACCTGGATGAAGCCCCTGGCTCCTGGCTTTGGATCGGCACAGCTCCAACTGTTGAAGCCAATTGGGGAGTGAACCAGTGGATGGAAGACCTCTCTCTCTCTCTCTCTCTCTCTCTCTCTCTCTCTCTCTCTCTCTCCTCTCTGTGTAACAGTAACTCTTTCAAATAAATAAATAAATCTTAAAAAAAAAAAAAAAAAAGCAAGGGGCTGGTGCCATGGCTCACTTGGTTAATCGTCCGCCTGCGACGCCAGCACCTGGGCGCCGGGTTCTAGTCCTGGCTGCTCCTCTTCCAGTCCAGCTCTCTGCTGTGGCCCAGGAGGGCAGTGGAGGATGGCCCAAGTGCTTGGGCCCCGCACCCGCATGGGAGACCAGGAAGAAGCACCTGGCTCCTGGTTTCGGATCGGCACAGCGCGGGCCGTAGCAGCCATTTGGGGAGTGAACCAGCGGAAGTAAGACCTCTCTCTCTTGTCTCTCTCTCTCACTGTCTAACTCTGCCTGTCCAAAAAAAAAAAAAAAAAAAAAAAAAAGAACCAATGGATGGGATATCTCTTTCCTCTGAGTTGCTGTAGCTTTGACTTTAAAATAAATAAATGAATAAATGAATCTTAAAAAAAAAAAAAAGGAGGGCTCTGCATGAGGTGCTGGCTGCAGCCAGAGGTGCACGGCCCCTGGGTAAAAGCTGCAGTGTGCAAGAGCCCCACCAGAAGGCAAGACTTTTGTGGTGAGGCACAGACAGTGGCTCAGGGCTGAGTCCAATCAGAGGTAAAAGGGTGAAGTTTCCCAGGTGGCCTGGGGGAAAGGCGAGTGGGTGGGCTTGGCCGTGCCCACGGCTGGAGGCTCACCACAGCATTTCCTGCGGTCTGCTTCCTCCCCCACCCCAGTGCTTGCTCCAAGGACCCTTGCACACGTGACCAGGGGGGCAGGGACAGAGTCAGCATGGCTTCCCCTGCCAGGGCTGACTTGGCCTCCATGTGGCTGGGTGCAGGGGGACCAGGGAGGTGACACTGGGCCCCTCCATCGCGATTCGCTCTCATACACACCAGCCACGTCACTGCTGCCAGCACCACCATTTGCAGACTCTGTTTATCTATCACCATGGCAACTCCAACACACGGCCTTGGACTGCAGGATTCGGTTTATGGTGAGGAAGTATGGCAGAGAGCT